CCCAGAAGTGCATTAATGTACATAGTTACCATTCAATAAAAAAAAAAAAAAAGATATATAGAAGGCAAATAACCACATGAAAAGATGCTACATCATAATTGTGAAATGCAAATTAAAACAATAATGAGAGACCAATACGTATCAGAATGGCCAAATCCAGAACACTAGAGATACTAAATGCCTGTGAGAACGTGGAGCAACAGGAACTCTCACTCATGTAGGAATGTAAAATAGTTTTCCAAAGTGGTTTCTTATGAAACTAAACATACTCTTATCATATGATCTAGTAACAGTGCTCTTTGGTATTTACTCAAAGGAGCTGAAAACTTAAGGGCACAAAAATCCCTGCATATGAATATTTATAGCAGCTTATAATTCATAACTACTAAAATTTAGAAGCAAGCAAGGTACTGTTGAGTAAAACAGGGACTAAATAAAACTGGTGCAGACCATCAAATGTCATTCGGCACTAAAAAGAAATGAGCTGTCACGCCATGAAAAGACATGATGGCCGAAGCAGAAGGATTACTTAAGGTCAGAGTTCAAGACCAACCTGAGCAAGAGGGAGAGTCCTCATCTCTCCTGAAAATAGAAAAAATGAGCCAAACACAGTGGTACAGTGTGCCTGTAGTCCAAGCTACTTGGGAGGCCAAGCCAGCAAGATCATTTTATCCCAGAAGTTGGAGGTTGCAGTCAGCTAGATTGTGCCACTGCATTCTACCCAAGACAACAGAGTGAAACTTTGTCTCAAAAATAAATAAATAAAATAAAGAAGACAACACAGCAGAAACTTAAACGTATATTACTAAGTGAAAGAAGGCAATCTAAAAAATCTACATACTATATGGTTCCAATTATATGAGATTCTGGAAAAGGCAAAACTATAGTGACAGTAAAAAGATCAGTGGTTACAGTGGGGTAGGGAGAGGAGCAGGAGGATGAATAAGCAGAGCACCGAGGATTTTTAGGGAAAATGAACTATTCTCATGATACTATAATGGCAGATACATCATATATTTCTCCAACCCCACAGGATACACAACACCAAGAATGAACCCCAATGTAAACTATGGACTTTAGGCAATAATAAGGTATCAATACGGTTTATTAATTGTCACAAATGCACCACTCTGGCAGGGGATTTTGATAGTGAGAGAGGCCATGAGTGTACAGAAGGAGAGAGTATATGACATGGATCTGTATCTTCCTCTCAGTTTTGCTGTGAACCTAAAATTGCTCTAAAAAATTAAGTCTTTATGAAATAATCATGTAAGATTGTTTAAAACTATAATTATCATGCTGTGTTGATGTATTTCTAATATATACAGGTATATAATGATAACAGCACAAAGGAGTGTGGGGAATGAAGCTACAATGGGGCAAAATTGCAGTATTTTACTAGAGTAACATGTGCAAGTACACACATGCAAGAGTGTACACACACAAAACCATTAGTAGGTTTTGTTAAGTCAGATGCAATCCCTTGACCAAGCGCTAAGAAAATATAAGAATAACAATGCAAACAAAAAATAATTTTAGAAAAAAGGAGTTACCTATATTAGTAATTACATTGAAATTATTTATAGACAGACTTAATGCTCCAGTAAAAAGATAGAAATTCTCTAACTGGATAAAGCAGCAAGATCCAGTTGTACTTTTAAACAAGAAATACACTTTAGATTCAAAGCACTTGAAACAAAATGATGGAAAAGGTATCTATATAAAACCATAAGAGGTTTGACATGGTTATATTAATATCAGATAAAATAGACTTAAGACAAGATATAGTAACAGAGACAAAGAGGGACACTTCATTTTGATAAAAGAACCAATTAGTTAGGAACACTCTTCTGCAGAATAGACCATCTCCTAAACTATAAAACAAGTCTCATTAAATTTTTAAAAATTAAAATCATAAAAAGTTTTCAAGGAATTAAATTATAAATCAATAACAACAAAAATTAAAAATTTGAGAGATCTCCAAGCATTTAGAAATAAAACAACATACTTCTGTGCAACCCAGGATCAAAAAAGAAACCATAATGAAATTTTCAAAAATGTACTGAATGAAACAAAAATGAAAACACAGAAGCTCACATTTTATGGGATATAGCTAAAGGGAAACATTAAGGAAAATTGAGTTTTAAATACCAAAAGAAAATTTAATTAAATTAATTAATCACCTAAGCTTTCAACTTGACAAAAGAGGAAAAAAAGGTCCAAATGAAACCCAAACCAAGTATAGGAAAGCAAATAATAAAGACCTAAGTGGAAATTAATAGTATATAAAACAAAAAATGATAAAAATCAAAAGCTGATTTTCTGGAAAAATCTGTAAAACTAATAGACCTTACATAAACTGATCAAGAAAAATAGAGAAAAGACACAAATTACCAAACCAAGAATCAAAGTAGGGCTATCAGTACAGACCCTATAGAAATTAAAAGGATATGAGATTATTATAAATAACTTTATACCAACAAAATTGACAATGTAGATGAAATAGACAAATTCCTAGGACACAAATTACCAAAACTGAAAGGAAACAGAAAATAGAAAAAAATATATAAAAATAGACTAATAACTAGTATAGAAATAATTTAGGTAATTAAAATACCTTGAAAAGACTCAAATATTTTATTTCTTCTTTTTCATTTCTTTAGTTGAAATAGTTGTTTTGGTAGGTATGTGAATTCATGATTATTTGAGAGTTACCTGGAAATACAGCTAATATAACAGCTTATATATTCATGATTCTAGAAAATATGCTTTGGAAAGCCTCATTTGTTACCTATCATGCCTAGATTCTTCAAATAAATTATCTATTGTCAGTCCATTTGTTTATGAAACATAAAACTACATATTTACATATAATTAACACTGAAAAAAATAACATACTTTCAAGGAAAGAAGAGATTTTTATGTGGTTCAATATCTAATTTTAAAACATTGACAGCATTTGCAGATTGAATCCGTCTTCGTGCAACAGAAATTTCTACTCTTCAGACTTAATCTGGGGCCAGGCATGGTGGTTCATGCCCATAATTCTAGCATTTTGAGAAGCTGAGGTAGAAGGATTGCTTAAGGCCAGGAGTTTGAGATCAGCCTGGGCAACATTGGTAAGAAGCCAGGTATGGTAGTGTGTGCTTTTAGTTCTAGCTACTCAGGAGGCTGAAGAGGGATTATTACTTGACCCCAAGAGTTCAAGGCTGCAGAGAACTATGACTGCCCCACTGTACTCCAGCCTAAGTGACAGATCCTGTCCCAAAAGTTAAAAAATGACTTTATCTGAAAGTAAACATTACCAAGTGGCTTCAAGTTGGAATAAATTTCTCCTTCTGATAATCAGATAAAGGAAAGGGAAAAATAAATCTAAAAACTAAAGACAGGTGTTCTTTCTATGCAGAGTATAAACACTTCTATTATCTACCTAGAAATACGGCACACAATCCCATGGACAATATAATTTCACATGTTGTTGATATATACCTCTTGTTAATTTATGATATTTCCTTTACTTTAGCAAGTTAGTAGTAAGACGTGATGTTAAAGAGATAGGCTGGGGGCAGTGCCTCTGGTTCAGTGGGTAGGGCACTGGCCCCCTTATACTGAGGGTGGCAGGTTCAAACCTGGCCCCAGCCAAATGCAACAAAAAATAGCAGGGCATGTGGTGGGCACCTGTAGTCCCAGCTACTCGGGAGGCTGAGGCAAGAGAATTGTCTAAGCCCAGGAGTTGGAGGTTGCTGTGAGCTGTGAAACCACAGCACTCCACTGAGGGCGATAAAGAGAGATTGTTTCTAAAAACAATAAATAAAAATAAAAAAGGATTGTAAATTAGAAAATAGTATTGTATCAACGTTAATTTTGAAGTGAAAAGTGTACTATTTATTACATTAAGAAAGTGTCCTTGGCTCAGCACCCGTAGCACAATGGTTACAGCGCCAGTCACATACACTGAGGCTAGGAGGTTTGAACCCAGCCTGAGCCTGCTAAACAACAATGACAACTGCAACAAAAGAAAAACAGCCAGGCGTTGTGATGGGCACCTGTAGTCCCAGCTACTCTGGAGGCTGAGGCAAGAGAATCACCTAAGCCCAGGAGTTGGAGCTGTGAGCTGTGATGCCCATAGTACTCTACCGAGGGCAATAAAGTGAGACTCTGTCTCTAAAAAAATAAATAAATAAAGAGGTAGGCTGGGGTTAGGAACTGGTAAACCAAATATAGAGTTTGGATTTTATTCTAATTGTGTTAGAGAGCCAGTAAGAGTTAAGCAGGATATTGGGCATGGTGGCTCATACCCATAATCCTAGCATTCTGGGAGGTCAAGGCCAGTGGATTGCTTGAGCTCAGCTTGAGACCACCTTGAGCAAGAGCAGAACTCCCATCTCTACTAAAAATAGAAAAACTGAGGTAAGAGTTTGAGGCTTGAGCCCAAGAGTTTAAGGTCGCTGGGAGGTATGATGATGCCATAGCACTTTACCCAGGGCCATAGGGTGAGACTCTGTCTTTAAAAAAAAATAAAAAAAAAAAAGAACAAAAAACACAAGGAAGAGTTAAGCAGAAAAACAGTATGATTTACATTAGAAAACAAAACCATCTTGACTGCTAAGGGGAGAATAACTAAGCCAAGCAAGTGGTACATGTAATATAGGAAATAAGCAAGCAATGTTTAGACTAGAGTGGTAATGACGGTGACAAACACCTTACGGAAATTAAACTTTCTTAAATCTCCTAACAGCCTCTTGAGGTATGTACTATTATCTTCATTTTACAGCAAACCAATGCAGAGAAAGATTAAATAACTAGCCTAAAGTTATACAGCTTAGGAAAGGCTGTATTGGTCCTCCAACCCAAGCAATCTAGCAGGAAAGTTAATTTTTTCCATCCATAGTAGTAAGATGTAGAGGAGAGGCTAAAGTAGTAAATGTTACAGCTACAATTATTAAGACCTACTAATAGATTAGATGTAGACATGAAGGAAATAAAGAAAGAATGATTTCTAGGGTTTTGCTTGAGCAACTAAGTGAGTCTGAGAATATAATCATATATAGGAGAATATAAAGTAAGAGGAAAAAGACCCAAGCTTGGAGTACTGTACCATTTAAAAGTTCAAGAGAGAAGGAACCAGCCAAACACTCAGTGCTTGGCAGGAAAATAGAGTACAAAAGCCAAGAGACTAAGCATCTCAAGGAGTAAGCAGAGACCATAAGATTTTGCAAAATGAAGGTTATCAGTGAAGCTGAAAATCCTCCTGAATTTACTTTTACCACTACACTTACGTTGTTACATTGTCTGTCTCATCTCTGGACTAAAAGCTCCTGGACAGTGACTGTGAGTTTCAGAATTAAATCGTATCTTCTTCTTTTTCTTTCTTTCTTTTTTTTAATATTTGGGGATTCATTGAGGATACAAGAAACCAGGTTTAAATTATATCTTCTGATTACAATGCTTGGAGTGGAACCGAAATTACATTAACGCTATGTAATGAAATGTAAATGCTAAATTAATTCCAAGGGCTTTCTGGTCTTAAGATTAATGTGAAAATTTCAATATGATTGATAAGCATCCTTCCATTTTCCACCCCTTCATTCACATACCGTAAGAGATCCATTTTGTGTGCTGGGTGAGTTGCTGCTCTGCTCTCCATGGGCTTGTGTACTTCCGTAGAGTGTCAGGTTATGCTCACTGGTCTGGCCGGCATAGTCCTGAGTGTGTGGCACTCCATATTCTGTGGGAATTCCATTCTGTGGAGGTGGTGGAAATGGGATGGTAGTAAAAGGCTGAACCATTGCGTCAGGAGTTGTTGTTGGCTCCTGGTTACCCTAAAATAAACCATGAGAAAGAGAAAAGGAGGAGAAAAAATGACTTTCAATCCCTGTTAACATAATTATTTTTTAGGGTAAGTATATAGAAAATTCTCTGAATATTTTCTCACTGTACAGGTAAAACAGAACACTTATTAGCCCCAGCGTAGGAGGAAATGTTATGATACATATACACATAGATGTATGTATGTATGTGGACATACACACACATACATTCTTGATTTATGTCAATATTGTGGTTACTGGACAGGTTCACAATGACATTAGAGAACTAGATGTCAAAGGACTAAAATTTTTTCCTTTAAACCAAGTTTAAAGAAAAAAAATGCTAGAAAATTTCTTACACAAGATAAGCTATGAGAGTTGAAATTAGTTTGGACCATTAGTATTTTAAGATACTAATTCTTTACCAATTCTTAAGAAAAAAACAATGGGAAACAAATTAATTTCCTTAAAGTTACAATTCATAGCAAATTGGCAGAATAACATTACAAATTAAAGGTTCAAAACCAGACAACAAAGAGACCTCCAGATTTTAGGACATTGATTTCAGAAGAAAGTATATTGTTAAAAAATTAAATTTTCAATATCAAGGAAAATATTTAGTTAAGTCTTGGTTACCAGGTTAACAAGCAAACAAACAAAAGACTTTGCTTTCAAAATACTAGATAAAAACCATCTAGACCAAAAAGAAATACTACTACCATATAAGACTAACAACATAGTGGAATACCCCTCCATATAACATCCATTCCCAGATGCTTATTTGGGATCCAGCACGACACCTGAAATATCAATAAAGAATGTGCAGTAACTGTGGTAAACTGTTAGGGGTCATTTTGACCCCATAGCCTCTCTCTCACTTCTGGTCTGTCTCGAAGTTGAGATACAAAAAGAGGAGTTTAATTCTTGTATTACAGATTTTACAAAGCCTTCATAGCTTGAGTGCAGTTTGCTCACATTTGTAATCCTAGCACTCTGGGAAGCTGAGGCAGGTGGCCTGCTTGAGGTCAGGAATTCAAGACCAGCCTGAGCAAGAGCCCAACATGAGCAAGAGCAAGATTTCGTCTCTAAAATTAGCCAAGTGCTGTGGCTGGCACCTGTAGTCCCAGGTACTTAGGCGGCTGAGGCAAGAGGGTTGCTTGTGCCCAAGAGTTTGAAGGTTGTTGTGATCTATGAAGTCATGGCACTCTACCCCAGGGCAATAAAATGAGACACTGTCTCAAAAAAAAAAAAAAAAAAAAAAGCCCTCGCCACCCTCTCTTTTCAACAAATAATTTCCCGACCTCTCATTTTATTCCATAAAAAGAAAAGTTATTATCTTTTTCCCTACACAAATCAGTAAAATCTTGGGACACTCTCTTTTTGGAAATAGTTCGTAGAGAAGGCAGAAGAGAAGGAGGGAAAAAGAAACGGGAGAAAAAGAGAAATGGACCTTAAAGTCAGAAGAAAAATTAACTAGGAGAAAATATTAGCAACAAGTAAGACAGATATTGGGTTATTACCACTAGTGCCAGAGTGGATTATACAAACTGATTAAGTCTCTCTCTCATACACACACACATACATACACCCCTCAAGAGAAAAAGAGGCAAAGGATATAACTGAACAATTCATAGAAGATAAAATATAAACAGCTAATACGATAAAAATGTTCAACTTCACTAATAGTCATGGCAATGCATAGTATATAAAAAATTTGTTTTATATCATCAAAATAGCAACAAAAATTTTTAAGTTTTATCAATGCATAATTGTCATACAATAAACTGCAGCTGTATTTATAGTATTATAATTAATCTACTAAATTATGAGATGTATACATATACTCTTATGAAACCATTACCACATATCCATCCAAAAGCTCCAAAAGTTTCCTTGTGCCCCAATAATAAGCACGTATTATTTTTCTAACAAAACCTACAATATGTTGTTTTTCATGTTAAAAAGAGTGACAAAGGCTCGGCGCCTGTGGCTCAAGCGGCTAAGGCGCCAGCCACATACACCTGAGCTGGTGGGTTCAATCCAGCCAAGGCCCACTAAACAATGACGGCTGCAACCAAAAAATAGCCAGGCATTGTGGTCCCAGCTACCTGGGAGGCGGAGGCAGGAGAATCACTTGAGACCAGGAGTTGGAGGTTGCTGTGAGCTGTGATGCCACAGAACTCTATCCAGGGCCACAGCCTGAGGCTGTCTCAAAGGGAAAAAAAAAGTGTCAAAAAGTATATATGGTACATAATCAATACGGAGAAGCCAATGTGGTAAAGCACTGAATTATTGAGCTCTGAAGAAAAGGTTGCAAGAACTTTTAAAACATTGCCCAGGCAAAGAATTTATAAAGAAGACCCCCCAAACAATCATAGCAACAACAAAAATTAACAAATAGGACCTGATTAAATTAAAAAGCTTCTGCACAGCCAAAGAAATAATCAATAGAGCAAACAGACAACTTACAGAATGAGAGAAAATAATTTGTATGTAACACACCAAATAAAGGGCTGATAACAAGAATCTATAAAGAACTCAAGCAAATCAGCAAGAAAAAAATTAAACAACCCCATAAAAAAGTGGGCGAAAGGTATGAACAGAAACTTTTCAAAATAAGATTGGCTATTAAACATATGAAAAAAATGTTCCACATCTCATCATCAGGAAAATGCAAATCAAAACCACAATAAGGTATTATCTCACTCCAGTGAGAATGGCTTTTATCAAAAAATCCCAAATGCTGGCGTGGATGCAGAAAGAAAGAACTCTTAGACACTGTTGGTGGACTGCAAATTGTACAACCTCTATAGAAAGTCATATGGAGATACCCAAAAGAACTAAATGCAGACCTACCATTTGATCTAGCAATCCAACTATGGGGTATTTACCCAAAGGTAAACAAGTCATTCTACCCAAAGGACAAGCATACTCTAACTTCTTTTTCCAGCACAATTCATAATTAAAAAGTGCCCAAGTGCCCATCAATATGTGAGTGGATTAATAAAATGTGGTATATTTATACCATATAAAACTACTCAGCCATTAAAAAAAAGGTGAACTAATACCTTTTGTAACAACATGGAGGGAACTGGAGACCATTCTTCTAATGAAGTATGTGAAGAACAGAAAAACAAACACCACATGTACTCACTATTAAACTGGAACTAATCAATTAACACTGATGTGCATGTTTGCTGGTAAAACTCACTGGAAAGCAACCAGGTGATAGGGGACAGGACAGGAGGGGCAAATTCACACCTAATACATACAATGCATATTATCCAGGTGATGGGTACACTTATAACTTTGACACAAACTATACAAATGTAATTTATGTAACCAAAATATTAGTACCCCTATAATATTCTGAAATAAAAAGGAAAATAAAAGTAAGTATGTATTTAAAAAAAAGAAAGGAAGAAAAGAAAATGGTTGGCTGGGCACAGTGGCTCACACCTGTAATCCTAGCACTATGAAAACCAAGACAGGAGGATAGCTTGAGGCCAGAAGTTTGAAACTAGCATGGACAACACAGCAAGACCTCGTCTCTACAAAAAATGAAAGAAGAAAGGAAAATGATAGTAACCTATCTACAGCCAAAAATTCATAATTGTCTTCCACTTAAAAGTTATACAACCTCTAAATTTAGCTGGGTCTAGTATGAAAGAATCATTTCTACCTGGTACCAAAAATTGCTTTACGTAAAGATTTTCCTTTGCTTAGTTCTTAGAAAATATGCTATGAAAACCTTCAATTTTACCCATAAAGTTTTTGAGGGGAAAAAAATATCTATCTTCGTCATCTATCACTATATAATGTTTTTCCTTATGTCTAGGTTCAGAGGAAAGAGAAAATAAACCTCCATTGTAGGCCACCTCCCTACATTGACCATCTCCTTAAGTTGACCTAATTTTTATGGATAGACAGGCACTTGTATACATCAGTACAGTAAGCTTAGTTCCTTATATTGACCACTTCTGTATATTGACCAGTTGGTTACAGTTCCTTGGGTGATCAATTTACAGAGGTACTCCTGTAATTCTCTCCCTGGTCCTTGAAACAATTTAGTGTTCTATTTATCTGCATCTATCTGGCCATATAAAACACAATGCTTCAGAAGCCCTCACTGGATTTACTGGCCTGAAGACAAATATGAAAGAGAAAAGAATTCAAATTCAGGTGAATTAGTAAATGAAATAAAGTAAGAGCACCAAAGTTCTCTACAGATCTACATTCCAACTCTAGGCATAAATACAATCTTTTAGGAATCCACACGAAATATCTACTAAATAACTGGTAAAGGCTAAAAGACACAGTTTTCAAAGATCAGCATGGCCAAAGGGGACTCTTCTCAGGCTCTGATGTCATTCCTTCCAGCTCTTACTCCAGCTTCCACTCTCCTGGGAATGAGATGCTGGCACACAAGTATCAGGTATGAATTCCCATGAGGGCTGTCTTGACAGAGCAGGCTCAGCCAATTGAATAAACACAGCAGATAGCAGTGAAGGATGAGGAGAAAGGTAAAAACATTTGACCCACTTGTAGCCTAGGCACCAGGCAATTCACAGAAATGCAAGCCAGGCAGACTGTTTTCCTAGAAGGCCAATGTGAACCTCTGTTGGGAGGTCAAGAAGAAATCTTTGGTGGATTTGTTAAAATTGTTATTTACTTAAAAAAAAATTTTTATTAAAAATGTGAAAACAATTTTGTATATATAAGGGAAAGAAATTGGGATAGGAGTGATTTCACATTTTTTCTCAAATACTCTGCAATGTCTAAACATTTCCCCAATATTCAATAATATTATTAGTAGTAAAAATGTTAAATGGCTTCATATTTCTATCAAATTTCCAGGCCATATTCCAAAGTTCTAAGTTCAGTAGAGAAGTACAACAGCCCCCAGAAAAACTATAAGATAATAGTTCACATGGTTATTTCTAGGCATGAATTTATCTCTATGTTTATGTAAAAATGTTTTGTTTCTAGTATCACAGGCTAAGGTGCTCTAG